TCCAAAGGACTAATGGACCACAGCTACCACGGCCTCCACCAGACTGAGTCCAGTACAGCTAGATGGTGCCCAGCTACCACCACTGACAGCTCTGCCAGGGATCACAACAGAGGGTCCTGGACAGAGCTGGAGAAGGATGTAGAACAAAATTCTAACTCACAAAAAAAAAAAAAAAACCAGATTTACTGGCCTGACAGACGGGAGAAACCCCAAGGGTACGGCCCCCAGGCACCCTTTTAGCTCAGTGGTGAAATTATTTCAGAGGTTCATTGTTCAGCCGGGGATTGGACAGCCCCATAAATCAAAAACGGGACTAATGAGGCACAGCAGTCCAGGAACAAGGACTAGAAGGCAGGAGGGGACAAGAAAGCTGGTGATAGGGAACCCAAGGTTGAGAAGGGACAGTATTGACATGTTGTGGGGTTGTTAACCACTGTCATAGGGCAATATGTATACTAACTGTTTAATGAGAAACTATTTGTTCTGCAAACCTTCATCTAAGGTACAAAGGAAAAAAAGAATTATCTATGTGAGATCAAATTGATAACAGCAACTCAAAAGGTTTGATGGGAAACCTAGGGGCAGTGAGTTGTAGATAATGGTGATGGAATAATTTGGAAAAGGATAGTGAGAATAGCAGCACAAGTAGAAGAATGTAATTGACGTCACTGAATTGTGCATGTAGAAACTTTTGAAATGGTTAACTGTGGCTATGTATATTGTCACCAAAAAAAAAGAAGCCCTCCAAGGTCAAGAAGGGAGAGTTGTTGACATGTCGTGGGGTTGTTTACCAATGTCATAAAACAATATGTATACTGACTGTTTAATGAGAAACTAATTTGTTCTGTAAACCTTCATCTAAAGTACAATACAAAAAAAATAAAAGATTTCACAACATCAAAAAACAAAAGGGTTAATAGGGCTGTGGTAAGGACTACTGGAGATAATACATGGAACATTCTCAGCCTGGTGCCTGGCACTTAGTACATATTCAGTTAGTGGTTGATACGTTGAAGAGGTCAGAAGGACCTGGGCATCTTTTATCTCTACATTGTTGTTCAGTGTCGTCAAGTTGATTTCGACTCATATTGGCCCATGTGACAGAGTGGAACCTGCCCCACAGGGTTTTCTTGGGTGTAATCTTTATGGAAGTAGATCATCAGGTCTTTCTCCTGCAGAACAGCTGAGTGGATTGAACCCCCAACCTTTCAGTTAGCAGCCGAACCCTTAACAGTTTGCACACTAGAGCTCCTCTCTCTACACGCTTAACAGATGCGAGTATTTACAGAAACCATTTTAACAACTAGATTAGTCAGTTACTGAAAAAAGATGCCACACTTGAATTGTTTAAGGAAAAAAGCGTCCAGGAAGTTTAGTAATTTTCACTTTTAAAACAACAAGGTTTGGTTATTTCTGTCCTTATGGTTATAAACTGAAAACGTATTCAACTCACCAAAACATGATAAGCGTCTGCTTTTCTCTTTCTTAGCTTTGCAAAATAAAAAGTGGGGAGCATCTGCCTTTAAATTGTGCCACATGCGTATTTATCCTGAATGTGTGGTAAGAGTGTAGGGTCTGGAGTCGCAGTACCCAGGTCAAGTGCCCCTTATCAGCTGTGTGTTGTTGTTTGTTGGGTGCCGGTGAGTCAATTGCGACTCATAGTAACCCCACGTGACAGAGTAGGACTGCCCCACAGGGTTTTCTTGGTTTTAATCTTTATGGGAGCAGATCGCCAGTTCTTTCTCCCACAGAGCCACTGGGTGGGTTCCAGCCTTTCAGTTAGCAGCCCAAGGCTTAACCATTGTGCCACCAGGGCACCTTTATTAGCTCTCTGGCCTCGGGCAACTTCTTTTTGTCTCCACTTCCTCATCTCCAAAATGAGGGATAGTAGTAGTAGCTGCTTCATGGAGTTGTCATGAGGATTATTAAAGTGCTTACTGCAGGGCCAAGGCCATGGTAACATCATGTTAGCTAGTATTAGATTTTGTCCTCCTAACAAATAATTTCAATTAATTTAAACAAAATCCATCTTATTGTATTACTGATTTTCCCTCTTTTTTTTTTTAACTAAATGAACAGTAGCTTTCCATATACATCTTATTTTTATCACAGTTATGGACATAATTATTTCATATTTGGATAAGAAAGCTGCTTATGTGTATAGAGCTCATCTTATAAGTGTACTTAGCACACTTTATTGAAATGATAAATTTGTAAATTGACTTTTTTTTTTTGTTTGTTTCTAAAGTGATGTTCCTCCATCTTTTGTTCAAAGTAAATTTTATAAGCTAAAAGCTACCTGTGTTCCCTTTTGGCAGAAAAAGACTTTTCCAGGTCAGTATTCTTAATATTTGAATAGTTATGTAACCTCTCGGGGCCTCAGTTTTGTCCATCATAAAATGGTGAAAACTGTAAAATTATAATCCCTACTTGATGAGATTTTCAAAAGTATTAGATAACATGCAAATAATACACGTTCAGCACAGTGCTACTACTACTACCACCGTCACCCTGTCCCCTACCCCCAGTCTAGAAAGAATGTAAGATGCCTAATTCCTTCTTGGTAGTCATTTGTGGGTGGTTTAGATATATATTTCCCATACTCGGATCATCAAAGTTATGTGGAGAACTTACTAAAAATACAGGTTCCTGGGCCTCATCCTAGACCTATAGAATCCTAAGCTCCAGGGATGGGGTCCCATGTCTAGATGTCCTTTATCTAGCTTACAGGTGAGTCTCACGTGATCTGCCTGGCAGCAGTGCTTAGGTACTGCTGGTTTGGATGACCTTGTATCCTGAGATGTGTGATGAAATAATTCTTGGCATTCTGCAGACATCACTACCTGGGTTTGAATCCTGGCTCCACCACTTACTAACTCTGACCTTGGGCAACTTTCTTAATGTCTTTAAGCCTCGGTTTCCTCATTTGAAAAATAGTGCCTACCTATTAAGATGTTTATCAGGATTAACTGAGTGCATATAAGTAAACCACTTAGAAGAACCTTGCACATAGTAATTACAATAGCAGTGTATTACTATTATTTATACCCTATATCCTTTGGCCTTGGTTAAGAGTCTTTGTACAGAAAAATAATTTCAAAATTAAATTTCTTTTCTTTAGAGATTATAGACTACCTTTATGAGACTAGTCTACCTTTGCTTAAAGAAAAGTTAGAAAAGAAGATAGAGAAAGGCACGGAAATCCAGACTCCTGCAGCACCAAAGCAAGTCTTCCTATTTCGAGATATCTTTTACAGTGAAGATGATAGTGATGGAGAAGACATAAATGAAAAAAGTTAAGCAGAGGTTACTGTTTTCTTGTCCTTTTTGTCTATTTGTTTGTGTTTATGTACATGTATTAATAGAGCTCTTTTCAGCATGTTTATTAAAGAATGCACAATGGCCCCAGGAAGGATATGAAAATAATTTATATTATGGAACTTTAAAAATTTATTAATGCATTCATATTAAAGTTTGTATCAGTGTGTAAAGAAAGAAGAGCATATGAGATGATTCAATATTTCTGTACTATTTTTTTTGAAAATACAAGTAACAGTTTTATAAAACAAAATTATCCCATGTTTCTCCAGTTGTAGCAGAAGGTAGAGTCACATCTTACAAACTTTGAACATTTCATTATGTGGATTCAAGTATATGTGCTCAGCAAAAATGAGAACGTTCGAAATGTTTATAATACATGCCATTTTGCTGTGTTTTCTCAGTTGTTTCTATGTATGTGCTCGGGGTATATAAGCATTAGATGCAAGCTGTGAATCTTCTGTATCCTCAGACTAGTCTCCGTTCCCATTTACCTATCGTAGTGTGTGCATCTCATCTTCCTATGATTCCAGTGTTTAAAGATACGTACTTTTTATACAAGATGCCCTGTCAAAGCAAGTCACCAAATTCATTTGATTTTGAACTGAAAAAGAAAAGAAAAAGCCAGCAGTCTGTTGTATTGTTTGTAGAGAAACTTGTTTCTTGTTTTATCATTCTCCTTTAAAAACTTTCAGTAGCTCTGTCAGACTTACGGAAATCGGTGTGTCAGTCTCACAGCCAGCTCACGCCTGACAGACTGGCAGCAATATTTTAACATTGGCTGGCGTGTCGGTCCGGGAGGTGGGGTGGAGCTACTCTAGATATTGCAGAGGAGGATTTAATCTAGGTTTTTGGATTACAAAATAGGATAGGATGAAGGAGGAAAAGGGGGTAGGTTGAATTGCCCAGAGATCAGGAGCTGTGGGGAAGCTGCTGCAGCCCCCTGTGAGGCTTGCACTGATCTGCCTCATGGGAGTCCCTGGGTAGCATAGACAGTGAAACACTTGACTCTTAGTTGAAAGGTTGGCGGTTTGAACCCACCCAGAGGAGCCTTGGGAGGCAGTCCTTGTGATCTGCTTCCAAAAGTTCACAGCCTTAAAAATCCTGTGGAGCAGTTCTACTCTGCACACACGGAGTCATCATGGGTCGGAATTGACTCAACGGCAACTAACAGCAATCAGCTCCACACTGCCTCCGGCTGAGCCCCACACTCTGGGTTGTCTGCTGGGTTGTCTGCTACTGTTGCTTCGACCATTGCCACCACTAGCTTTGCAGGGCCCTGTGCTCCTCTGTCCCTTCACTGCCACATGGCCACCTCAGGAACCTGTCATATCCGTGGAACACAGTGGCTCCTGCCTCCCTTCTGCCTTCTAGTCTGTCGTGAGTGCCTCCCACAGGCAGCCCCTTAGCAGATCCCTGCTGGCAGGAGAATCTGGGAAATAAAGTTTTCAGTCATCTCTCCCTGTCTCTGTAAAGGAGAGCATAGAAAGGAAACCATGGGTTAACTATGCCCAGTACGTGACACCACTGTCTGTGCTAAGATGCAACTTCATTGTCTCCTGAGTGCTCTCTCTGGTGTCATTTATATAACAGTTTAGGATGTTACCTTAATTAATCTACAAAGCTAGGTATTTTTCCAAACCTGCCATTGTTGGAGAGGGAGGAATACAGAGAAACAACAAGTTTAGGAGTCCTTGTTCATCCCTGTATCCCCAGCATCTATCATAGTGCTCTGCAAATAATAGACATTCAATAAACATTCACTAAATAAATGAACATATTTTTTTTCCAGCAAGCAGCATCTCCCCTTAGTCACCTCCTTCTGCGTCTCAAATATACCAAGCTCCATGCTGATGGGAATATAAATTATATATTTCTTTTGGAGGACAATCCAGTAAGATACATCAAAAAGCCTTGTGAATGTACATATTCTGTGATCCAGCAATTTCACTTCTAGGCATTTATCCTAAGGGGATGTCTTAGTTATCTAGTGCTGCTAGAACAGAAATACCACAGATGGCTGGTTTTAGCAAACAGAAATTTATTTTCTCACAGTTTAGGAGGCTAGAAGTCCAAATTCAGAGCACCAGCTCTAGGGGAAGGCTTTCTCTTTCGGCTCTGGGGGAAGGTCCTTGTCTCTTGTCAGCCTCTATTCCGTGTGATCTTCCTGTAGCTTGGCATCTATCTTCCCCCATCTCTGCTTGCTTAATCTACTCCTTTTATATCTCAAAAGAGATTGACTCATGATACATCCTACACTAATACTGTCTCATTAACATAACAAAGAAACCCATTCCCAAATGGGAGTATAACTTTAGGGGTTAGGATTTACGACATATATTTTTGGGGGACACAAGTCAATCCATAGCAGGGGATAATAGAACTAGTATATAAAAATGGCACATTTATAATAGAGAAAAAATAGAAAAATATACGTGTTCCTTAATAGAAAATTTGTTAAATTATGGTATACTACTAGAATGGAAGATTATGTAGTAATTTAAAATGATAATGGTAGATTTGATTGACATAAAAGGAGGTTAACAATATTATCAACAAAATATTTCAGAAGAGTATATTGTCTCAATTTTGTAAAGTAAAAAGTAAAGGAAATTGAATGTATATATAGATGTAGTAAAATGTATGGGAGGAAATAAACCCAAAATGTCGACAGTGGTTCTCTCTGGGCAATGGAGTTGTGAGTTTATAGGTTAGGACTCTGAATTGCAGTTGCCAGAAAATCAGACTCAAATAGACTTAGGGGGTTATCTGGGTTCTCAAAACTGAAAGTCCAAAGGTAGCACTAGTTTTAATTAAGGATTGAGCCATCTACTCAGTGTCACCAAAGACCTGGTTTCTTGGTTATTCTTTGCTATCCCTTCTGCAGAGCCCGCTTACCTTCAGTCCACACAAGGTAACTCTTTGCCGCCACTGCCCGCCCCCCCCCCAGGGCACACCCTCATATAGCCACATGTTTTTAGTAGTTCTGTTCCCTGTAGGGGAAAAAAGAGGGTCTTTTCTGATAGCTCCTGCTTAATCCTAGGTTTTGCTCTTAGTGCCCACATTAGATCTGATACCCAACTCTGAATCATCCCTGTAGCCAAGGGGATAGGATTGGGTTCAACCAATCTGGGCTCATCTCTGGAGCTGGGATTTGGCTCCCCATCCCTTGAATGGCTGAGAGGGTAAATACCCAGTGGAAAGTCCAGGTACCATTAGCAGAAGAAGTGATGAATGGACTCTTGGGAAGCAACCAGCAAATGTGCATTACAGTGGGTAATTATTTGTGCTATAAATTTTATCCAATAAACTTGTATACTTTGTAAAAGTTTTGTTTTTGTAACTTTTTCTCACCTAATCTCCCATGTCCTTCCTTTAAAAAAAAACCAGAAGCATGCAATGTAAATCTTACCTTTGCCAAACACCTTTTTTACATATAAAAAAATCCATAAATTTGGAAGAAGGGCAGGGTAGAGTGTAAACATCAAATGCATCCAGGAAAAGATTAGGTTGTAAGGGGAAGTTGTGAATTTTGTTGGGATGTGTAGACTTTAAGGTACTGATGGGGCACATTTGAGGAGAGCCCCAGTCTATGGTGTGAAAAGAATGGACAAAAGATAAGAGCTATGCTGGAGATACAGAGGTCTACGAAGGTGATAGTTGAAGCCATGAAATAGATGGCATACTCAATTTAGACAGAGAAAATGGCAAAGGAAGAAACCTCAAGTAACATCTGTACTTGATGGGAAGTGGAGAGGAAGAGTAGACTCAGTAATATCCATTGCTGGTGGGAATGCAAATTGATATAACTGTTGTAGAAAACTAGCAGTTCCTCAAAAAAAATTAAAAATAGAACTACCATATGACCCAGTAATTCTACTCCTAGGTATATATCCAAAAGACTTGAAAGACCCAAACAGAGATGTGTACACCAGTGTTCACTGCAACACTATTCACAATAGCCAAAAGGTGGAAACAATGTAAATGCCCATCAGCAGATGAATGGATAAACACAATGTGGTACATACAATGGAATACTACTCAGCCAATAGGAAAAATGAAGTCTTGATACATGCTACAATATGGATGGAGCTTGAAGACATTATGCTGAGTGAGATAAGTCAATCACAAAAGGACAAATATTATATGACCTCACTTACATAAAAAGACAAGAAAGGGCAAATATACAGAGAACAAAGTTTATTAGTGGTTATCAGGGGCAAGAGAGAGGGGTTAGAGGGGGGGTTAGTGATGATGGAAAAATTGCATTGATTAAGGGTAGGGTTGCACAGCTGATTATTGTAATTGCTGTCAACAGTTGTACACCTGTAAAAAGTTGAACTGGCAAAAGTGTGATAGATGTATTTACAACAAAGACCGAAAAAGAAAAGGAGTAGCTGCTGAGATTGCTTGCTTATGTACAACCAAACACGTCATGGGATTTTGTTCCTTGGTTTGGAGGTTTAGGGTCATGGTCTCATGGGACATCCCAATTAATTGACCTAATAATGTGTTTAGTGCTTCTGCTCTACCTCCAAGTTTGTTGCATGGTGCCTGGGGTCTTAAAAGCTTGCAAGCAGCCATCCAAGGTACAACAATTGGTCTCTGTTTACCTGGAGCAACAGAGGAAGGAGAATCACGAATAGGAGGAAGAAATGGAATGTGTGACTAATTGCCTCCATGTCTTAGGCTGGGTTCTCTAGAGAAGCAAAACCGGTAAATTGTATAATGTATATATATAGAGAGAGATTTATATCAAGGAAATGGGTCACGCAGTTGTAGACGCTGTAACATCCCAAGTCTGTGGGTCAGAAAAGAGGCTTCTGATTCATGTAGCCACAGGGGCTGGAGAACCCAAGATCAGCAGGCCGGAGAGCAGTGTTGTTGCTCACAGGCTGTGAAGATCGAAGAATCCCAAGATTAGCAGGCAAGACTGCAGGTAAGCTGCTAGCTCAAGTCTCAAGAACTGAAGGTCAGATGAACAGGAGCCAGCTGCAGGATCCAGAAGGAGCAAAAGCCCCTGAGCCCTGCCTGAATGTCCGCTCACATTCGATGCAGGCCACACGCCCAAGGAAACTCCCCTTCATCTGTTTGGCTACTCACAGCAGATCCCATCATGGGGGTGATCACATATCAAATCTCAATAGGGAAGTGATCACAACATATGACTGCCAAAACACTGAGAATCATGGCCCAGCAAAGTTGACATACAGTCTTAACCATCACACTCCATGAACAACTGCCTTCTTTGCCATGAGAGAAGAACTGGATGGTGCCCGGCTACCATTACTGGACATTTTGATCAAAGATTCTATAATAGAATCCTGATCAAAAAGGGGAAAACGCAGAACAGAATTTAAAATTTTCATGGACTCAAGACTTCTGGAGCCATGGAGGGTGGATGAACCCCTGAAACTGTTGCCCTGAGATAATCTTTAAACCTCAAACCAAAAATATCCCCTGAAGTCTTCTTAAAACCAAACAATAGTTAAGCTTAACTAGTAAAAAAGGTCTGCCTTGAGCATTATGCTCTGTTAAGGACTACCTGTATGGAATCAAATTGGCAACAGCAACTGGAAAGATAATATAGGAACCTTAGGGGGCAGCAAATTTATGTTAATGAGGGAAGGTACAACTCAGAAAAGGAGGGGAAGAATGTTTCACAACTCAAAGAGTGTAATCAATGTCACTGGATTGTACATGTAGAAACTGTTGAATTGGTGTATGTTTTGCTGTGTCTATTCTCAAATAAAATTTAGAAGAAAAATAAGATTAATTACCAAAAAAAATCATCTATATGAGACCAAAAGGTCAACATTTACCCTAAAGCAAAGATAAAAAGGTAAGGGGGGGGCAGGGAAGCTAGATTAATGGAAAGGGAACAACCAGAACAGAAATAATGAGGTGGGGCCAAGATGACGGAGTAGTGAGACACTTCTATGGTCCCTCTTACAACAAAGACCTGAAAATACAAGTGAATCAGTTATATACGACAATCTAGGAGCCCTGAACATCAAAGACAAAGTTGAGTCGGACTGAGTGGCGGGGAGGGAGAGAGTGCAGAAGCAGCGAAGAAGTGCCAGACTTGAGCTAGCCGGCACCTGGCAGGTTGGGTCAGCTGGTACACACAGACTGCGGTAAGCAGTAGCACTCAGGACGCGTTTTACCACGTTGGGAGAGACTGGGTGGTGGAAAGTCTGCACAAGCCTCCGGAGCCAGCGCGAAGTGGTGCTGGATCTGCGAAAGTTAAGTGCAAGCGTCTAACCTACCACTCAGGATCAAAATAACCCTTCCCCTTCTGGGGCTTTCCTAGCAGAGAAGTGCCTCTTTTGCCCTCACCTGCCCCCTCCCCACTCTGCTCCGATACCAGTCCAGCAGTATTCAACAATTGCCATGTCCCCTAAGCCAGAAACAGGATCTGTCATGCCCAAACCAGTCTCCTGGCTTTAGGGAATAAACAAACAAACTGCCAGCTCTCCTAAGCTGGGTACTCAGGATTAACCACACCTAAACGTGTCTCGAAGCTTTAAAAGTATCACCACGCACCCTAAGCCAGGAACTCAGGGCAAGCACTGCCCCTTTGCCAAGGCACAGGCATAAGTAGTCCACGGACTTTGTATGCCTTTTACCCCTGCCTAAACCTGTGTGGGCCCGTTCAACAGCATAGGCCCTCATTAGAGTACAACAGGGTATATACCTGAAGCCTGTTTTCAACTGCAACGGCTAAGAGGGAGTTGCAGATTCGTGACATTTGACATCGCCCTGCCCGTTAAGCAGGGCCCTCACCCACCTACATCAGGGGCCTGAGGACTGGCAGGCTTCACCCATTCTGCCTAGCTGCCCACAACAGGGGTGAGAGAATAAGTGGTACTTCCCAGTCCTTACAGCCAACAGCACTGGGTGCCCAAAGTCTGGCTACAAAACCCACCCACATATGCACTTTAGGAGATGGAGACACGCTTTCCACCTAGGTACTCGGGCAGCCATCAGCCCCCTACCTTGCTCAGTGTATAACCCCCTACTGCAGCCAGATACCTGTCCTTGCTCCAATCACCCCTACGTGGCCCTGCCCATCTAGGACTGTAGGTGAGAGCTTGCACCACACACTCGGTGACTGATGCCTGGACACCTGAGCTGAATCCATACGAGAAAAGTAAATGGACTCCTGGGCTCACACACCTAGTTGCAGCTCTGACTACCTGGTGATGACGTGAGAGCCTCAAAGATGCCAATAACCAAAGTAGCTCACACGCCCAGCCTATTGGGCATATCAAAACAAAGCAAAACAAAAAGCTAGGACACAGTAAGCAAACATACAATAAATAAGTATAATAACTTACTGATGGCTTGTAGATAACAGTCGATATCAAAATACATAACGACGCAGATCATGATGGCTCCAGCAAGCGACCAAAACAAAGAACCAGGAAACCTCCCAGAGGAAGAGAAGGTCTTGGAATTACTGGAGGTAGAATTCAAAAGATTAATATACAGAACTCTTCAAGATATCAGGAAGATCATGCAAAACACAGACCAAGCCAAGGAACATACAGACAAAGCAGTAGAGGAATTTAGGAAAGCTGTACAAGATCAGAATGACAAATTTAACAGGCTGCTAGAATTCACAGGGAGACAGCAAATAGAAATTCAAAAGATTAACAATAAATTTTCAGAATTAGACAACTCAATAGAAAGTCATAGAAGCAGAATTGAGGCAATGGAAGTCAGAATTAGTGAGACTAAAGATAAAGGACTTGACACCAACTTATTTGAGGAAAAATCAGATAAAAGAATTTTTAAAAAATGAAACCCTAAGAATTATTGGGGCTTGTAGGAATAACCTATGAGTGATTGAAGTACCAGAACAGGGGGGGAAAACAGAAAATGCAGAGAGAATTGTTGAAGATTTGTTGGCAGAAAACTTCCCTGATACCGTGAAAGACGAGAAGATATCTATCCAAGAAGCTCATCGAACCCCACACAGGGTAGATCCCAAAAGAAAGTCACCAAGACATAATATAATCAAACTTGCCAAAACCAAAGATAAAGAATTTTAAGAGTGGCTAGGGATAAACGAAAAGTCATCTACAAAGCAGAGTCAATAAGAATAAGCTCTGACTACTCAGCAGAAATCATGCAGGCAAGGAGGCAATGGGATGACATATATAAAGCCTTGAATGAAAAAAAAAATTGCCAGCCAAGAATTACATATCCAGCAGAGCAGAAATAATGAGAATGTTGACACATTGTGAAAAAATGTTACCAATATCACTGAAGAATATGCATAGAAATTGTTAGATCGGAACCTATTCATTGTGTAAACTTTCATGAAAAATACAATAAAATATTATTTTTAAAAAATTCACAAACTGATTCTAAAATTTATATTGAAATGCACAGGACCTAGAATTGCCAAAACAATTTAAAAAAAAAAAAAAAAAACAAGTTGAAGACTAACATTACCTGATTACAAGACTTTTATAGCTATAGTAATTAAGACAGTGTGGTACTGACATAAGAACTGACATATAGACAAATGTGACATAATCAAGTCCAGAAATAGATCCAAAAATGTAGAGTCAACTAATTTTTGACAAAGGAGCCAAAGGAATTGAATGGGGAAATTACAATGTTTCCATCAAGTGGTGCTGTAACCACCCATTATCCATAGGGAACGCAATGAACCTCAAGTCTTAACCTCACAGCATATACAAACATTAACTTGAAATTGATCATTACCTAAAAGTAAA